CAACTGAAATGTTCCCAAGTCCAGAAACGTAGCAAAGAGATCTGTAAAATAATCAATGTGACATCAGGGGTTCAACCGTAATTTTACGAAGCTACGAGAATACTTTTTGTGCGCAAAAGAAAAAAAACAAAAATTGTTATTCAACAATTCGTCTCCTCCGCATCACCCTGTAGCGCCATTTTGGAGAGTATCCGCTGGATATGCTGTTTTCGTTCAGATCCGGCGTGACGCAGCTGACACAGAACAGCATACATTGTTTACGTCAAGCTGATTCTCTCCAAAATGGCACTACAGGATGACGCGGAGGAGACGAATTGTTGAATAGTCTTTTTTTTTTTTTTTGCAATACACCAGGGCGATTTAACTGGAATTAATACATATCTGTTTCTGATACTCACAGGAACCATCTGATTATTATCATTATTATTTAGATGATACATATTCATGAGGCATTGACAAACACAGAGATGCTGACGAGTGAACGGACCGTGTCACTTCAGAGAGGGCTAGTTTAATTTCCGACCATCCCCACACACTCTAATTCATTCTCACTATCTCCGTCCCTGTTTTCACCTCTGCCGTGCGTCATATCAGCCTACAGTCTCCTCTATCATTTGCGGGTTTTACTTTGTGTAAATCTGTTAAGAGAACCCACTTGTGTAATTAAAGGTTTGTGCCTGTCTCTAAGGACCACGCTCCACTTTTGCAGCATGACACGCACACACAAACCCACTCGCACGCATGTGATAAACCTGGCAAGCGGCATCGTAAGGATGAGATCAGTGGCGCTTTCGTGTGTTGTGTGATCAAAGTGTTCATTCTCTTTTCCTCCTCTCACTCTAAAAAAAAGATGACTGTGCCTCCCTCGTCTTTGGACGTCTGAACCTCGCACTTCATCAGCCTGGGCTCGCTAACTAACCAACCACTCGCACTTCCAAAAAACTCATTGTGAATGTTTGTGTGGAGGAAGTGCTAATACATGTCCTGATACTGCAGACAACAGCCACATACAGGTCGTGTTTTACACTTTGTCACGATGCTGAATTAAGGAAAGTTGAAAGATACATTGGTATACAAAAATCTATAATAGACAAGTCAAAAGTCCTCACATCTTCACTTCTTTTGTAATAAAAATAAATAAACTCAAACATACAATGGCAGTTATATGCGGTACATCTCTATGGTTTGTATTTTTAATTACAATTATGTTAATATGGTAGCACTTTAGTATAGGGACCAATTCTCACTATTAACTAGTTGCTTATTAGCATGCCTATTATTAACATATTGGCTGTTTATTAGTACTTATAAAGCACATATTCTGCATGACTATATTCTACATCCCTAATCCTACCCAATACCTAAACTTAACAACTACCTTATTAACTGTTAATAAGCAGCAATTTAGGAGTTACTGAGGCAAAAGTCGTAATTAATGGTTTACAAATAGAGAGAATTGGACCTTACAATTAAGTGTGACCGTTAATATAATACTATTTGAATAATTTAAGACTTATTAGGCCCTTAATTGTTGAGAACCACTGGACTAGTGGATCTTTGTCATGTGACCATATGTATAGAAAAAGCCAAACAGCTGACTGCAATTGAAGATGTACAGTACAGTAATGATAAAAACTACTATTATAAATATAAATACAAATGTTAAAAATTATTTATATTTTATTTAATAATATTTGAATGCAATATTTTATTTTAAAACAAAATAAATAATTATTAAAATTAGAAAATCATTTATTTATTGCCATATGATTAATCCCTAACATGTTGCATATTGCGACCCCTCTCTCACCTATGCAGTTTTATTTTTTCCCTAAAATGATAAACAAGTCTGTTCAGTCTATGATAGCCTTTGAGACGAGCTGACGCATTCCGGTACTTTCCTCATCCTCACAGTCATAACTAATGGCAGCTGAGCTCTGACTCATTACTTCTGATTTGACAGATTGGCCTCATCTCCAAAAGCCTGCCTCTAAGACATCTGATTTCATCAGTCTGATGTAAAGTGGTTCTTTAAATCAGTTCTGATGTGTCTGTCAAGAAGTATACATTGAGAAGAGTCCGATGATCCGCATAAACAGCTTCCTTCTCAGTGGCGCTCTGTTTGTTTTGTGACAGTACGCAGAATTGCCTCCACGAACCCATTAAATAACAGTCGGCGCTTTTCCACCTATTGTCGCCGAGAGTTGATGAGCGTCGAGGAAAAGGATAAGCTGATTAAAATGCAAAAGGCCACTCGGTATAAGGTGCGTCCGCGGCTCTCCGCTGTGTT